GTTATTACCACGTGTTAACACCACGTTATTACCATGTTATTACCATGTTATTACCACGTGTTATTACCACGTGTTAACACCACGTTATTACCATGTTATTACCACATGTTATTACCATGTTATTACCATGTGTTAACACCACATGTTATTACCATGTTATTACCACATGTTATTACCATGTGTTAATACCACGTTATTACCATGTTATTACCATGTTATTACCACGTGTTATTACCACGTGTTAACACCACGTTATTACCATGTTATTACCATGTTATTACCACGTGTTATTACCACGTGTTAACACCACGTNATTACCACGTGTTATTACCACGTGTTAACACCACGTTATTACCATGTTATTACCATGTTATTACCACGTGTTATTACCACGTGTTAACACCACGTGTTATTACCATGTTATTACCACATGTTATTACCATGTTATTACCACGTGTTAACACCACGTGTTATTACCATGTTATTAACACGTGTTAACACAATGTGTTTCTAGTTAACCAGATTAGCTGCTCAAAAAAAACACTTGGATATTAACAAATATGTAAAGGTCAAAAGCACCGTAAAAGAAACATTATAAATATATATATATATATTTATGTTTATATATGTAATATATGATTGTTATTTAATCAAGGTTTTATTTTTATTTAATTATTATTTGAATTGTCAAGTCGTATATTCCTCATGTTATTCATCTGAGTTTATGTCTCATGTTGTTACTTCCTGATGTTTAAAGTCTGTATAAAACATGTTTAGTGTTTTAAACTTGTTACTGTTTGTATGTTCTGTTGTAAATAAAGTTTAAACAGAACACAGACGAGTCAGGTTCTAACGACTTCTTTGCTTCATCACGTTCACGTCAGAGTCAAGAAACGGAACATCAGAGGAAGTGCAGCTGATTGGTTCATGTTGTGTGTCTACAGATGTGCGGCAGCAGAGCAACGGAGCTGAGAAACAAACGTTACGCTGTTAATCCTCTGGGACACAAGTGGTCTCACCACAACATCACATACAGGTGTGTGTGTGTGTGTGTGTGTGTGTGTGTGTGTGTGTGTGTGTGTGTGTGTTCAGGTTACATCAGCTGCTCTCTGTTTGTCCTTCTCTCAGAATCATCAAGTTTCCAAACACTCTGAATGTGGACGACACTAAGAAGGCCATCAGCATCGCCTTCACCAAGTGGAGCGACGTATCTCCTCTGACCTTCTCAGAGCTAACTGATGGCAACGCCACAGCTGACATCACCATCGGTACGAGCAGGAGGCGAGAGGTTTGATGTTTGTGGTTCAGTTTTATAAAATAGTGTTTGTCTGTGTCAGGTTTCTACACCTTCAACCACACCGACTGCTGGTGGTCTCCTCTACACCCCTGCTTCGATGGCCTGAACGGCGAGCTGGCTCATGCTTTCCTGCCGCCACGAGGAGAAATACACTTTGACAACCACGAGTTCTGGATCCTCGGCAAGTCAAGATTCAGCTGGAAACAAGGCAAGAGTTCAAAAAGCAGTAGGAGAATGGCCCAAACTAAAAACTCAAAGTAGACGTTAAATAAAGACGTTTGTTCAAGCGTTCATGTTTCTGATGAGCTTGTTGCCGACCGTTATGTGAACTGATTCTTCAGGTGTGTGGCTGAACGATCTGGTTCAGGTGGCAGCTCATGAGATCGGTCATGCTCTCGGCCTGTGGCACTCCAGAGACCCTCAGGCGCTGATGCATCCCAACGCCACCTACACTGGACAGAGGAACATCGCTCAGGACGACATTTGGGGCATCCAGAGACTCTACGGTAAAGTTCAACACCAGCTGAGCTGCTCACTAATGCTGAGTTCAGACATTTTCCATCTTCTCTCTCAAAGGTTAATTCACAGGATGAGAATGTCATGACAACAACAAGATCAAGAATATACCTAATGTACCTTCATGACAGTGAAGAAAAAGTTAATGGAAGTAAACATAGGTTGGACCTGCTGCGTCAGTAGCATACTGCTGACATGACGATATCATGTATGATCGTTTCAGTGACACATGTTGACCATTGGTGTGCAGGTTGTCTGGATAAGAAGCGAGTCTGTGATCCGTGGGCTCGACTCGGCTTCTGTGAGCGGAGGAAGATGTTTATGAAGAAGAACTGTCCTCAGCGCTGTGACCTCTGTTATGGTGAGTCCACATCGCTCCTCTGGTCCAACAGAAACCTGAACCTGATGGTCCGGTCCTTGAACTGTCTCTGGTATGAAAATCATTTCCTGTCTGTGTCTTGCCCACAGAGCCTCTGGAAGCGGTTAGCACACCAACACCGTCTCCAGCCAACATCAAGATCAAGATGGTTCCCAGAGGGAAGGTGGTGGGTTTCCGCTGTGGAACCAAAAACTCTCGCTCTCCACCCAAAGTCAGGTAATCTGATCGCTTTATTTGTACGTCATCAAATCACAAACAGACATTATGTCAAGGTACTTTACATGGTAAGAATATTGTAGAGAAACAAGAATCACTGACCAGAGTGGAGAGAAAAAACAGTTTGACACTTCCTGTAGAAACATTAAGATCAATAACCGTTAACCAGTGACCTTCGTCAGCTGATTCAGTTCCTCGTTTTTCATGGAGGTGGTTTGGTGTCAAAGCTTTACTACTAGTGCAGTACACAGTTTTTCCTGAGCGTGGTGCTAGAGTTGTGAATGATCTGATCATCAGTAGAAACTCACCTACATCTCTGGCGTTCATCTGTCCTGCAGCTGGTTTAAAGACGGCGAGCAGATCGTCGCCTCTGTCCCCGGCTACATCGTCTTGAAGGACAGAGACCTTCGCATTATCGCCAACGAGTTTAATGAGGGCGTTTACACCTGTCGCATCCATCGACGTGGGGACATCGTATCTGCCAACTCCTGGGCCATCCGACTAAAACCAGAGCAACCGTCCAACAGCTGAGGACAAAACATGATGAACTGTTTTTATATTAGTGGAACGACTCACTACGATTGGATATGACAGAAAGTCACTCTGCAAACAAACCAAACCATGGTTGAGTTTGATCCAGACCCAGAACACCTCTCTCCGTGTGTGAGGAACCTTTCACAGTCTGAAGGTCTGAAACAAAGGAGGAGTCACAGAGTGAAACCTGCGGCTCCATCATCCAGTTCCTCCTATCTCAGATATTGGCGCCACCATCTTCACCTGGTGATGTCAGAACGTTTGATTGAATTAATTGGATCACATCAGTTTTAGTATTTCTGTTAGCGCCCCCCCCAGTAATGTATGTGACATGTATGTAATATAAGTCATGTGACAGCTCTGACATCTCATTGAATCTTTTATTTTTCAGTTGCTCACATTGTTTGACGTCTGTTCCTCTTCTTCGCTGACCATCGTTCTAAAAACAGTCCTTTGTTTGACACTGATTTACCCACAATGCACTGCATGAGTCTGATGCAGAGAAACATGATGAAATAATTTAAATAAATTTGGTTTCTAACATTTATATTCTTCACATTTAAATTAGTAACAAGTCGTTAAAATTCACCTGTTGTCTCCAAGTGACCTCACGGTGACGACAGCCGCTGATGCACTGTGGGATACCGTCTGTTTCCGTCCAGATAGTGACGTCATGTGGACACTCATAGCTACTGCACCAACCTCTGTGGTCAACAGATCCGAAACTCATCTGTTTGTCAACCTCTAACCTGCTCTCTGATTGGACCAGAGCTCTGGCCGTGAGAACATGTGAAGAACATGTGAGGAACATGGTAAGAACACGTGAATACATCGTTCCATCTTCAAAATCAAACTTTATTGTGTGAACACAACTGTTCAGGTGAGGCTGCACACGGTGCAGACACACACCTGTCATCACCTCCAACCTTCTGATTCAAAAGACCTTCATCATGTCGTCGTCCTCATCTTCATCCTCAGAGCCGTGATGAAGATGAGGAGGACGACAGACCTGAGATCAGCTCAGACTCGAACACACAAAGATTCATTTATTCTGGTCTGTTATAAAATGTGCCCCCCCTCACCCCCTCTTTTGTGGCACTGATAAGGTGTAATCAGAGGGGGTGGGGCTACAGCACAGGTAAACAGAAGAAAGGCACGTGTGTGGCTGCTTACAGGCAGAGAAACACTGAGAAGGTCAGCGGGCGGCGACACATTAAATCAACAAAGATAACGGTAGAGACGCAGGCCGGGGGGCGGGGCTGGTCCTCAGGATTGGTTTGGTCGGAGAGTACAGGAATGTTTGTTTGGATGAACTCGGGGTGGGAACACGACGACCCATCTGATGATGTTGGTGTTTGCGGCTCCTTCATCTTCAGTTGCTCACTGTCGTGGCCCCACCCCCTGCTGGTGACATCACTCTACATGCCCATCCGGATGCTCTGGATGATCTGGAAAATGGCTGAAAAACAACAGAGGAGACATGTTCAGGTTTGAGCAATGTAGTGATGTAGCATGCTAATTTAGCATGCTAATGTGTTAAAAAGCCATATTAAACACGTGACATATTAAACAGGGTCAGAGTGGGCACTCAGTTTATCTTTAGCCCCGCCTCCTCACACCTGTGCTCCCTGTCACAGTGACGTGACCTGACGGGTCAGAGTGACATGATAAGAACGCAGCAGCGAAGAAGATGATTTGATCAGTTTGAGTTTCCTGACCAAACTTCAACATTTATTGTAAATAAATAAATTCATTAGGAATTTTAGAAAGTTAATGAAATAAAGAAACTCACCTGAGCCACAGACAACGAAGATGAAGAGAGCGAGAAGCCAGGGGCCCACCCCTTTATCTTCAGAGACGTTCCTCTGAAACACACAAATCATTTCATTTACTCAAACTACTACTACTACTTCTACTACTACTACTTCTACTACTTCTACTACTACTACTACTACAGTCACCACCACTGAGGACGGAACTTCAACACTGGAACACTGGACTGTGCTGGATTCATGTGTCTGTGCAACATCAACGAAGTAAAACATTCAGGCGCATACTCTCACTGTGTTTAAACTGTAAATACTACTTTAATCACATTCCTCACACTGAACTACTGCACGTATTACTCGCTGACGTCTTTTGGACTGTAGTGCTGCAGATGTCCCCACTGTGGGACAGTAAAGGACTATCTTATTATTGATCTGATGGTGACGTCACGGATCATCATTGGCCACTGATCAGTGTTGTTCTGTGATTGATCTGTGATTGATCCGTTTAACCACAGTCACAAAGTGATGATTGATTCCTCCTCAGTGATGACGTGTATTGATCAGAGGAGCCTCAGTGGAAACCGCTCAGACGTTACGTTACAAACATCGTTACGTTACAAACATCGTTACGTTACAAACATCGTTACGTTACAAACACCGGGACGTTACAAACACCGGGACGTTACAAACACCGGGACGTTACAAACACCGGGACGTTAGTAACGTGGTGCTGGTCGGTTGGAGTGGTTGTTAAACTCACCGTTGACTTGGCCACGTTTCCTCGCTGAGTGATGTTTTTACTGTGTTTCTCGTTCGCCATGCGGATCCTCTGTTTGGCCACCATCTTGCTTCAGGACTTTCACCGATGTTCGGACGATGTTGGGACAATGTTCGGACGATGCTCGGGTCCAGCTGTTTTTCCTGCGGACGCTGACGAACTGTGAGAGAATCACGATCTGTCTACGTACTCAAAAAGCTGAAAAGCTGAAGCCCCGCCCCTCACATCCGGGAGGCACAGCCACTTCTGTGTAAAGCTGCTGTCTGTGAAAAGAAGACTTCCTGTCTGCCCTTTCAAATTAAGTCCACCCTCTTCATGAAACTTGTTTTCAGTATGACGCATTAATCACTCAGGACAAAATAAAACATAAATATAATATAAAAGTCTTTGGCTTTACTCAGCTGGGTGTCGTCTGCGTAACAAGTCTGTGGTGCTTTCTCATGATGTTGCCTAAGGGTGCATGTATAAGGTGAAGAGTATCGGTCCAAGGACAGAACCTTGTGGAACTCCATGACTAACTTGCATGTGCATGGGGGGGGGTCATTGTTGACGTTAACAAATTGAAATCTATCTGATAAATATGATTGAAACCAGTCTGAAGTTCCTCTGATCCCTTCATGTTGTTCTAGTCTCTGTGATCTTATGATCTATGGTGTCAAACGCTGCACTAAGGTCCAACAGGACGAGGACAGAGACAAGTCCATCATCTGAGGCCATGAAAAGGTCATGAGTGACTTTTAATATTCAATTCAATTTTATTTGTATAGTGTCATCTCATAATATACATTATATCAAGGCTCTTTACATAGATGGTCAAGATCTTAACATAGTGCTGTTTCTGTGCTGTGATGATTTTAAATCCTGACTCGATGTAAATATTGAATAGTTTTATTTTATATTTTATATTTCATCAACTGTCCTTTAATTTTGCTTTGTTCTGAAACCGGAAGTAGTTTCTCCCTCAGTTGCTTTGAACAAACTTCACTGAGGTCAAAACTTCAAATTTTAATAGAATAATATTTTATTTTTGTTTGAAAATATTTTACGCTATTGTTGATAAATCGCCTCACGTGACGTCACACCGGTGGAGTGAATTTCTCGGAGTCTTCTTTGAATGACGTGTCGTAAGGTCAGGGCCTGTATGCTGATGTGGCACTGAAAGACACACCTCCTGCTGCTATGACGTATTTCCGGGACAGGATACTTTCTTCTTCCGGTTCTCAGCAACATGGCGCCTCCAGTGCCGCTGTTCGCAGGTGGGTGATACGCTTTCTTTAAAGCAGCAGGTTTTACATATAAGTTGAGTTCACACCGACACGTGGTGAGTTTGTCCCGGACACACCGGAGCTTCAGTCCGCTGCTGAGCCGCTCGTCTCCCGCTCTGCGATCCAGAAGCAACTTTAAACCAAACTTCACTCAATTCTGCCATCATGTGTTTTCAGAGAGTTCTTAAACGAACAGATGTAAAATGAAATAATTGAAGAGTTCAGATAAATTCATCTCATTCAAACACACAGGAGGATCAAGATAAATCAAGTTTGAACAGAAACAGAACCTTGATCCTGCAGAAAAGAATAAAGTTTATAGCTCTGTGTACACACACACACTCATATATATATATATATATATCTGCGTGTGTGTGTGTGTGTGTGTGTGTGTGTGTGTGTGTTGTCAGTGCGTGGCTCAGATGGAACGTCTCTGCTCCGTGGTCCTCCTCAGTGTGAGCAGCATTCATCCTTCCCCAGGTAAAAGCACCAGTCTCATCCTCTTCATCCTCTTCATCATCATCACCACAGTGGAACAGCCATCATCTGTGTGTGTGTGTGTGTGTGTTCCTCAGGGACAAGTGTGCGACCTTCAGCAGAGACGGGACGTTGTTCGGCTGCTGCAGTGGAGACAGGTAACCATGACATCATCTGTTCTTTGTATCCAGGACGATGACGTTACTAATAAACAA